TTCACTCCTACTCAGAGGTTCTGGGAGCCCAGAATGTTACATAAGTGAAACATCTGATACTTTTAGTTTCTGTAACAGTTAATCCACCACCTCTGCCCCCATTCAACATTTTCAATATTTGTAACATACAATGATAGCTAAAGGGAAGGAAGGACTTGATGTTTTAAATTTTAAAAGAAAAGCCCTTGTGGTTCTGATCTCTGTCCCTTTCACTGGAGGTGGCTATGGCTCCATGTCTCCATAAGAAATGGCCCCAGTTGGGGAGTAGGTACCAGGCTGCAGTCGTGTATGATCTTGCCCTAAGTAAGCCTCAATTAGGAACTACTGAAGAGAGGCTTAAAGCCTGTCTGGTCTATAATTAGACTGGCTGTACTGGTTTTTCTTTGCTTAGTAAATGCACAAGCATTTACTATGTGCCAGGATTTGTGTACAGAATTGTTACACTGTCAGACTCAGAGCAAACTGAAAGTAAGTATGTCACACTCTGCATTTTCTGAGAGCAGACAGCGCTCCAAGCTTAGGCCTGGCTTAACCTCATTGTCAGTCGGCTTCCGCAGCCCCGGTGGTAGGAATTAACAGTAAGCATGCAGGTGTTTCTAAATAAACGACATGTGAAATTGTTAAGCAATCACTGAATTTTTTTGTTCCCTTGAATCAGTTGTTGAATGTTTGTACACATATCCAACCAGTTGCTGTCAGCTTGCATACATCATTAGAAGTAGCTTTTAATGCTTGCAGCTGCTTCATCGTGTCAGTTGTATCTGACTCTGTGCGACCCTATGGACGGCAGGTGCCAGGTAGGCAAGAGTACTAGGGTGCCATGCCCTCCTCCAGGGGCTCTTTCCTACCCAGGGATTGAACTGGGTCTCCTGCACTGCAGGCAGATTCTTTACTGCTGAGCCACCAGGGAAGCCCCCTTTTAATGCTTACTTACCTTCAATCACAAGAAATAGCCTTGCATTAGCATAAAGCACTCTTTCGGGCTCCTCCTCCTCTGAGTCTGCCCAGACCCAAGGGAGCCATGATAAACATCATCCTGACCCTGACATTGGACAGATTGCACAAGGTGACAGAGCTCAACAGTGGCTCATCCAGAAGGACTAGCCAGCTAGGTTTTCTTCCTCCATGTACAGCGTGGGGTCTGTGGTCCAGGTTGTCACAAAATAGTATGGCTCCATTGATTTTTCTAAAGCTCTGAATTTTCAGCCTCCCAAGAGAACTGGAGTAGGTCTTCTTTTTGTTTCTTTGTTATGTTGACCCAATTACACATCTTTTCTGTAGACTTTTCCATCTTGTAGGATGTGGGAAGCAAGTTTTATGCCTAGCCAAGGACTTTTAAAAACCAAATTTGTAAGCAAAAAATCTGAATTTCTTTGGAGTAAGAAACATGGAAAACAAATACCTTATCTATGCTGATTGCTCCCATAAAGTTGCTAAACAAAACTCTGAAAGGGGTTGGGTTTTAGAAATTCAAATTATTTCATTGTCACCTAAAATAAAACCCACCTTGATTGTAAATTAGTGCAGCCACTGTGGAAAACAGTGTGGAGGTTTCACAAAAAACTAAAAATAAGTGGTAGGAATTAACAGTAAGCATGCAGGTGTTTCTAAATAAACAACATGTGAAATTGTTAAGCAATCACTGAATTTTTTTGTTCCCTTGAATCAGTTGTTGAATGTTTGTACACATATCCAACCGGTTGCTGTCAGCTTGCATACATCATTAGAAGTAGCTTTTAATGCTTGCAGCTTCGTTGTGTCAGTTGTATCTGACTCTGTGCAACCCTATGGACGGCAGGTGCCAGGTAGGCAAGAGTACTAGGGTGCCATGCCCTCCTCCAGGGGCTCTTTCCTACCCAGGGATTGAACTGGGTCTCCTGCACTGCAGGCAGATTCTTTACTGCTGAGCCACCAGGGAAGCCCCCTTTTAATGCTTACTTACCTTCAATCACAAGAAATAGCGTTGCATTAGCATAAAGCACTCTTTCGGGCTCCTCCTCCTCTGAGTCTGCCCAGACCCAAGGGAGCCATGATAAACATCATCCTGACCCTGACATTGGACAGATTGCACAAGGTGACAGAGCTCAACAGTGGCTCATCCAGAAGGACTAGCCAGCTAGGTTTTCTTCCTCCATGTACAGCGTGGGGTCTGTGGTCCAGGTTGTCACAAAATAGTATGGCTCCATTGATTTTTCTAAAGCTCTGAATTTTCAGCCTCCCAAGAGAACTGGAGTAGGTCTTCTGTTTGTTTCTTTGTTATGTTGACCCAATTACACATCTTTTCTGTAGACTTTTCCATCTTGTAGGATGTGGAAAGCAAGTTTTATGCCTAGCCAAGGACTTTTAAAAACCAAATTTTTAAGCAAAAAATCTGAATTTCTTTGGAGCAAGAAACATGGAAAACAAATACCTTATCTATGCTGATTGCTCCCATAAAGTTGCTAAACAAAACTCTGAAAGGGGTTGGGTTTTAGAAATTCAAATTATTTCATTGTCACCTAAAATAAAACCCACCTTGATTGTAAATTAGTGCAGCCACTGTGGAAAACAGTGTGGAGGTTTCACAAAAAACTAAAAATAGAACTCCCATATATTTCCACTCGTGGGTATATATCTGAAAACACTAAAAAGACTAACTCAAAAGATACATACACCCCAATGTTCATACCAGCATTATTTATAATAGTCAAGACATAAAAACAACCTAAATGTCCATCAATCGATGAATGGATAAAGAAGAGTGTGTGTGTGTGTGTGTGTGTGTGTGTATGTATGTACATACATGTATTTGTAACATACAGTGATCACTAAAGAGCAGGACTTGATGTTTTAAATTTTAAAAGTAAAGCCTTTGTGGCTCTGTTCTCTGTCCCTTTCATTGGAGATGGCCATGTCTCCATAAGAAATGGCCACAGCTGGGGAGTTGGTACTGGGCTGCAGTTGTGTATGATCTTGCCCTAAGTTAGCCTCAGTTAGGAAGTACTGGAAAGAGAGAGAGAGTGTGTGTATATATATATATATCACATACACATACATATGTATGTATACATACACACTGGAATACTACTCAGTCATAAAAAGGATGAAATTTGTAGCAAAGTAAAAGGACTTGTAGGATATTATGCCATGTGAAATAAGCCAGAGAAGGACAAATGCTGTATGATGTCACTTATATGTGAAATCTAACAAATACACTAAACTAGAAGCAGATTCACAGATAAAGAAAACAAACTAGTGGTTACCAGTGGGGAGAGGGAAGTGAGAAGGGGCGAGATGGGGTAAGGGAGTAAGAGGGACAGACTACTGGGTATAAAGTAAACCACAAGGATATAGTGTACAGCACAAGGAATATAGCCAATATTTTATGATTATAAATGGAGTATAATCTTTAAAAATTGTGGCTGCTTCCCTGTCCTCGTTTCCTCCCCTTCCTCTCACCTCTCATCCTTCTCCAGTCTGGAAACTGCCAGATTTTTGTTAAAAAATCTGGTCTCCACGTTAATCAGTTCAGTGGGCAGTTTTTAGGACTCAATTTAATTCCTCTCTTAGCAGGACTTAGTACACATGGTAACCTTGGGAACTTACTTAACTTCCTCTTAGGACTGTAGCCAGGTCTAAATAAGATAGTTCATGTAATGGTGAGCCCAGTGTCTGCTGCAGCAATGTGTGTGCGTGTTAAGTCACTTCAGTCCTGTCCAGCTCTCTACGACCGTATGGACTATAGCCTGCCAGGCTCCTCTGTGCATGGGATTCTCCAGGCAAGAATGTTGGAGTGGATTGCCATGCCCTCCTCCAGGGCATCTTCCAAACCCAAGATAGCGATAAGCAACAAAAAATGTTAACTACTGCTTTTATCAGCATACTTCTTTGGTTTTCCTCTTACATCCTCAATTCCTTCTGCTCTTCTGTGGTGTCATGAAATGTTGGGATTTGTTCATTCCACAAATAATTTAGCAAGTGCATATTTCATGCCATGAAATTTTCTCGCTCTAGGGATGCAGTGGTGAACAGAATTAAGTTGCTGGTTTCATGGAGTTATGCTTGGGGCAGGGAAATTGTAAAAATTAACACATACTATATGAGATGATGACTGACACATAGTAAATGTATATGATATATACTACTGTATTGTATAACACTATATTGTATATAATGAACCATATGTCTAGTGGACATACATCAGATATTACTACGTTTCAGTAGGGAAAGAGGAATGGATGAATGCTGCAATTCAGGATAGCATACTCAGGGAAGTCCTCACTGATTGGTTGATTTTTGACTAGAGACCTCAGGAAGTAAGAAGTAATACATGTAGAATGTTTATAAGACCATTCAGGCAAAAGGAACAGCCAGTGCAAAGGCCCTGGGGCAGGGGAGTACTTGGTACATTTGAGGAGCAGCAAGAAATCAGTGAGCCTGGAGCACAGTGAGCCCAGCAGGAGAGGGGTGGATGCGGAGATGAAGTCAGAGAAGTGGCCTGTGGTGAGGAGAGAGGCAGAGTAGATCTTGAGACATTTTCCAGGCACTGTAAGGACTTGGCTTTATTTCAAGTGAACTTAGAGGTCATTGGAGGGCTTTGAGTAAAATAATGACTTTAATTTTAAAATAATCTCCCAGATTCTCTGTGGAGAATAGACTACTGGGAACAAGGGTGGAGGCAAGGGGCTGGAGAGGAGGCTGTTGAGATGGTCCAGGCTTTCTCTGGGTCTGTAGGTGACTCTTCCCCTCCCATCCTGCTCTCTCTCCTAGACCACACTTGGCTTCAGAGAGCATTGATGTGCCTACAGCTCCCACCCTCAATTCTTTGGCTCATCCCTGTCTTCTGACCTCCAGTCTTATTTGTTTACCTCTACCAGCACTTGGCCACTCTGCATCTGAATATACCCACACTCCTCCACACCCGCTCTGGCTCCTCTGGGGTCACACTGGCCAGTGAATGGCACCCCCACACAACCAGCTGTCAAGAGCCCTCCTTGGAGTGTCCCTCCCTAGCACATTACCTCTGGGGGATCAGCACGTCCTCTTGTTTGTTTTCCACAGCATCTCTCCCCTGTTCTCCTTACTACAAGCCTCGCAGAGCAGTGGGAAGACTCTTGAGAGTCCCTTGGCCTGCAAAGAGATCAAACCAGTCAATCCTAAAGGAAATCAGTCCTGAGTATTCATTGGAAGGACTGATGCGGAAGCTCCAATACTTTGGCTACCTGATGCAAAGAGCTGATTCATTGGAAAAGACTCTGATGTTGGGAAAGATTGAAGGCAGGAGAAGAAGGGGACGACAGAGGATGAGATGGTTGGATAGCATCACTGACTCAATGGACATGAGTTTGAACAAGCTCTGGGAGTTGGTGATGGACAGGGAAGCCTGGCGTGCTGCAGTCCATGGGGTCGCAAAGAGTCGGACACGACTGAGTGACTGAACTGAGCAGAACAGTAGCCTCCTAGCTGGTAACCCTTATTTACTCAGCCCCTCCAGCTACTACTGGGTTGTTTTATTTGTTTGTTTGTTTTAATTTATTTATCTGGTCATGCCGTGTGGCATGTGGGATCTTAGTTCCCTGACCAGGGAGGACAAACCCATGCTCCTTGCGGTGGAAGTACAGATTCTTAAGCATTGGACCACCAGGAAAGCCCCTGGGTTGTTAAATGATATTCTCCACAGAAATGCAGAACTCTATGAGGAGCAGAGTTTTTCTGTAAAGATAGATGTGTCTTTCTCACAGTGGAACAGCCTTTTCATTTATTAAAGGAGACACTTAATAACATCAGAACATTTGCTTTTGGATTACATTACTGGCTTGGAGAGCTACCGAAGGACAGTGGGTATCCCACTGACATTTGCATGACCAGAAAGCTACTTCTCAGAATAAAGAATGCTTTTCTTTAGTATCATATCTGGGCAAACCCCAGATATGAATTGTAACAGTTTCCCTTGACCACAGGAAGCTTATTAACATTGAATAATAGTTTTGTACCTGCATCCTGCTGCTCAGAGACTCTCCTACTTAATTGGGGTTTTTTTTTTAATTAAAAGAAGGAGGTGGAATGGATGTGGTACCTATGCATGTTCACGACTTTATTTAGTTTTATCAGAAGAAAGAAACTAGATTCTCTACTTCCGCCCCAGCTGCAGCCAGAGTGACCTAAAATGACCACAAACAATAATAACAATCAGATCATATGACTTCTCTGCTTGGAACGGATCAGTGGTTTCTAATTGCCCTGGCAGTCAATTCTAGATTCCCTCTCCTGGCCCACCAGGCTCTGCATGGTGTGGCTCTTACCTTCTCTTCAGCTTCATCGCTTACTTTTTCCAGCTGCGTTATATTTAATCTCCATTTCTCAAGTGTATACCACTCTTCCCCTCAGCTGTCTTTCTCTATCCTTTCTGCACCAGCTTAAAAGCTGTTCTTTCTTTAGGCTTCAACTTAAGAGTCTCTTTATTAGGGAATCCTCAACTCCAGACTTGGTTAGGTCTGTTGCAGGAAGGGGGACCCCTTCCAGGGCCCGAAACTGGGCTCTTGTCTAACACTTGGAAATGAATTGCCTGAGGAGACACATGTGCTGACAGAGCGAGAGATTTTATCAGGAAAGGGCGCCCCGGTGGAGAGCAGGAGTAAGGGAACCCTGGAGAATAGCTCTGGCTCTGGCTTGCAGTCTTGGGTTTTATGGTGATGGGATTAGTTTCCGGGTTGTCCTTAGCCAATCATTCTGACTCAGAGTCCTTCCTGGTGGTGCACGCCTTGTTCAGCCAAGATGGATGCCAGAGAGAAGGATTCTGGGAAGTGGTCGGACAGGTGGTGTCTCCTTTTGACCTGTCCCGAACTCTTCCGGTTGGTGGTGGCTTATTAGTTCCGTGTTCCTTAGCAGGACCTCCTGTCATAAAACAACTTGTGCAAATGGTTACTATGGTGCCTGGCCAGGGTGGGCAGTTTCAATCAGCGTGCTTCCCCTAACAGGTCTGCGGGCCATAAGACTCCAACACACCTCTTTCTCCCCCGGAACCCACGATGTGCTGAGTTGTTCTTCCCCATCAGTGCTTTGCTGCGTTCAGCCAGTGGCAGCTCGTTCTGCAGCTGTCACCCTACAACCCGGTCAAAACTTGACACGCAGTGGGCCCCCAGGAAACACCAACTGACCGGTTTGCCTTGGGTTTGCTGTAAATATCAGGATGTTTCATAAAACAAAGCGTTTCCCAAGTGAAGGTTGCAATGACCACTGGTTAATTTGGTTGTCTGAACCTCTTAAAAAAAACAGAAATAGATTTTCCAAGGCGGGTGGTGAACTCAGAGAGCAAGAAAACAGGGATAATCCTGAGACTGTTTATCAGCCTGGTTTGAGGTTTCATTTGGCTTGCTCCTGTTTCATCAACTGCACTGACTTTATATGCCTAACCCAGTAAAATAGGGTTCCTCACACTCTAGACTTGAATGAAGCAGCATCACATGTTCTCCCTGAGTGAAAAATCTAGGGAAGTCTGGGATAGTGAAAATGGAAAGTATCCTCACAAACCCTCAAGTTCAGAATTAAGTGACTTTTGGAAAGGGGAGGGGGAGGGTCAGTTTAGGGGTAGGTAATTAAGAAGTACAAACTATTATGTATAAAATAAATTATAAGAATATGTTGTAAAACAAAAACAAAGCAAAAAAGAATATGTTTTATAACAAGGGAAATATAGCCCTTATTTTATAGTAACCTAAGTGGAATATAACCTTAAAAAATGGGGAATCACTATACTCTACACCTGTAACTTATATACTATCTTACATCAGCTATACTTCAATTTTTTAACAAAGGTTTCTTTTGCCTTCCTGCCTGCCCAGGTTACCATCAAAAGCTACATGTAAATTCTGTGGAGTTGGTTGTTGTGGTACCAGTATGTTTTATAATTTGTATAGTAATGTTCATGAAATAGGGACAAGTTTCCAATTTCCATTGGAGTAGGATGAACTCAGATCCTGCCAAAAGTTTTTTCCATCTTAAAAAGACTTAATCCAAGCTTAAAGATGTCAGCTTCCTTTTTTAAAACATGGCTTCTTTTCTTCAGGAAATGTGTGTTTCTACTGGGATACAAATGGGAATTTAAATACTGACAGGAAGTAGATGTAATTTACTGAATGCACTTTTGGCAACTGGGAGAAGGCTATCTGAGATTTACAAAGCATAATTACCAGGTTTGTCAATATTATCACTTTGGGTTACAAAAGGACACAAAATTACAAGGGTATGTGCCTTGAACTTTTTGATTGTTTTCTTTTGAAAAACATTGCCTCATTATGAACAAAGTGACATAAAAACAAAAGCAATTCATTGCCTTTCCAATTTCCGTTCTACTCAGGATGACTCAAGGCAGACTTAGATTTTTCAAAGTGATCTGAAAGAAGGTTGGGTATTAAAATAGCTTTAACGTTAGGCTCTAACCTCATGCATTAAATGTGAGCAGAAGGACACACAACGTCTGCTAATGAATGTTACTTGCTGTCTGTTAAAAACTAACATTATACCATTGGCTCCTAGAATAGTAATAGTATTGGGTTGGCCAAAAAGTTCGTTTGGGTTTTTCCAGAAGCTGTAATGAACAAACTTTTTGGCCAACCCAATGCGTGCCCTGTGGGTTGTTTTATTACAGTAATAGGTCACACTCTTAGCTAATCACTCATGCAATTCAGATTTACCAAATGAAGATTTAAGGATGACCTTTGTGGTGACAGCAGTTTGAGTCAACAGGAGTGAAGCATCAGGTCTCATTAGCCCTGTGGTCCAACAGTGTTGAGTTGTAGCTATGTAGCTACCAAACTGTTTTAAATAAATACAAATTATTTATTCTCTCTGCCAAATAAAACTGTTTCTAATTAACAGGGCCAGAGAAATTGAGCATCAGTCCTCAGTTTGATGAAACGGTTCCCAAGAAGACTGTAATTTCTGTGAAACAAATACAAAACTCTAAGAAGCTTTCACATTAAAGTATGCTGGATGTATTTTAAATGTACTTTCTGCCTCACTTCTTGGCTTGGTTTCTGGTGCCAGGTAGCCAGGTGGCTCAGTGATCAAGAATCCAGCCTCCGGAGCAGGAGACATGGGAGACGTGGGCTCAATCCCTGGGTCAGGAAGATCCCCTGGAGGAGGAAATGGAGACCCATTCCAGTATTCTTGCCTGGAGAATTCCATGGACATAGGAGCCTGGCGGGCTACAGTCCATAGGGTCACAAAGAGTTGGACATGACTGAGCACGCACCCATCATGGCCTTCAGTTTGCATCAGTTGCTAGCTGATTTCTTGTACCTTTTTGTGCCTCTCACCATGAACATTAGGTGATGGGTATGAAAGATATGGAGAAGGAAATGGTAGCCCGCTCCAGTATTTTTGTCAGGAAAATCCCATAGACAGAGGAGCCTGTCAGGCTACAGTCCATGGGGTGGCAAAGAGTCCAATGCAACTGAGTACACACACACACACATAAGACATACTCAGTAAATTTCCAATTTAGGTAAGACATGCTAAAGGGTCTGCATTGCATTTCCTTCAAATAATTCAAATAACCCTTCAAAAGATTGTGAATTTTTTATCACTGATTCATTAAGGTCAGACAGCTGGGATTTCAATTGATTTGTACCTAAATATGTATTAATTCCGGAGAAGGCAATGGCACCCCACTCCAGTAGTCTTGCCTGGAAAATCCCTTGGACGGAGGAGCCTGGTGGGCTGCAGTCCATGGGGTCGTGAAGAGTTGGACACGACTGAGCAACTTCACTTTCACTTTTCACTTTCACGCATTGGAGAAGGAAATGGCAACCCACTCCAGTGTTCTTTCCTGGAGAATCCCAGGGACGGAGGAGCCTGGTGGGCTGCTATCTATGGGGTCGCACAGAGTCGTACACGACTGAAGTGACTTAGCAGCAGCAGCAGCATGTATTAATTCATACTTTCTTAGAAAGTGAAAGTCGCTCAGTCATGTCCGACTCTGTGTGACCCCATGGAATTCTCCAGGCCAGAATACAGAAGTGGGTAGTTTTTCCCTTCTCCTGGGGATCTTCCCAACCCAGGGATCAAACCCAGGTCTCCTTCATTACAGGCAGATTCTTTACCAGCTGAGCCACCAGGGAAGATTAAATATGTATTAATTCATACTTTCTTAAGTAAATGTCAATTATGCTGCCAAAGTTTAAACTGGTAAAAATCAGAGATGGAACAGTAAGGAATAAACCCAAGGTTTCAAGAAATTTTATATAATGCCATTGTAAATATCAGTTTTGAACGTAATATAACTTGGTCTATTTATTTTCTTTAAAAGTGTGGGGAAATTGGGAAGGGTTGGTGTGTGGTATCAGACAGACTTGGGTTTAAATCAGTCCCTCCCCGTGACAGTGGGCAGGTTTCCTAACATCTCTCAGCCTCAGTCCCTCAGTCCCCCTGTCCTGGGACTGTGACAAGGATGCTGTGAGGTGTGTGTGTGTGAAAGTGCAAGGACATGGACCTGGCTCTGCACCTGCCCACAGCCTCTCTTCTCTCTTTTCTCCCGCCCCTACCTCTAACCATCTTACCGACTTAGTGAGTCATTTTACATATCTGTGGCTCAGTTTCCTCATCTGAAAAACAAGGCTAGACCATACACTCTTGAAGATTCTGAAAAGCTCTGCAATTCTAGGTTTTAAAAGTAAAATATTAATTAAAAGAAAAAGAGTTCCTGCTTGGAAAAAATATTGGCACCATGCTGAGAATTATGACTGATCTGTAAATGAAAGTGTCTACAGACCATGAACTGGATCTGTTCTTTATGCCAAAAGTAGATTTTTCTGAGAGCAAGTTAATTGGAAAATTTGGAAAGCACCAATAAGTTCTTGCATTCACCTTAAAAGAGCAATGAAATTCCATATCCTGTGGTCTTGAAGTGAGTAATGGAAGGATGTAAATATTTATTGAAATGAGAGTGCAGCAGAGAGAAGATCTGCTTTGTCTACTGGTGGGTGGTAACACATCTATGGATCATTGTTTGCACTAAGCATTTAATAATCCCATCTGTTGAAAATGTATATTCAGAAGTACTTTGAAACTGCTATAAGCTACCTAGAAATTGGCAGGGAAATACTCCTGGAGAGATTCCAAACTCTGCAGTAGACCAAGAAAACCAATATAAATCAATATGTAATTATAAAACCCCATCTTTAGCCAGAGCTCTTTAAAAGATTTTTTTTTTTACTTAGGCATGGTATAGATTTTTAACACCAGAGTCTGGGACTGTAGAGTCCTTTGCTAACCTCAGATTCAGTTCTGTTTATTTGACCTGAAAAACCCACTCTTCATTTGACCCTGCAATAGCAGAACTTCCTTCTATCCCCACTCCCAGCAGTTGCTATGGCATCATCTTCTTATATCTCCATGCTTTCCTTGTCTCCCAGGTCCTTTTAAGTAGATCACATCTCATTTGAAAAATGAATCACCGAGCTTTATAACAGCTTTATACTTCTTTTTCCATCCTATTACGTCTTTTTCACATCCAAAATTCTCTTGGTCCATCCTGAATTTCACTCAGAGAAGCGCCAGTTACAGCATGGTCTTACCTCTCAAGTGTATTTTATTTTTCTTACTGTACCTCTCTCTTTAAAAATATCAATCCACTGGTTTTCCTTTTCTCCCAGCTCTTCTATTTCTCTCCCCACACTCTCCTTTTCTGCCCGTTTATCACTGGGCCCTAC